GTCCTACTTTGACCCAGCTCAGAGAGGCCTCTGATTCTCAGGACTGGCAGTACATCACAGAATATCAGTCAAGGGTCAGGATAAACCAGTGGTGGCAAACCTATGGCACATGTGCCACAGCTGGCTGTTATCATTGAAAGCTCTAAAAGGTTTGCCAACAGTGGCATAAGAGGTTGGTGCAGGTACATGACTAGGAGGTTTCCTAGAAGAGGTAGAGATGAGCTGGCTCTCAGAGCATTGGCAACAGAGAAAACCTAGTGCAAACAATGTGAGGAGCCTAACTTGCTGGGTCTTAGTCCCTGGCTAAAAAGGAGAACAGGCAGGCTGCAGTGTCCCAACAGAGTGACTGCACTTCATGTGATTGGAACTTCCTTGAGGGGCTTTTAACCTAGGGAAATCCGACCAACCAGGCTCTGATGGCACTGTCCCTTCTGTCTCTTCTGTCCCCCAGGAGATTGATGGCAAGGCCCTGCTTCTGCTGCGCAGTGACATGATGATGAAGTACATGGGGCTAAAGCTGGGGCCAGCGCTCAAGCTCTCCTTCCACATTGACCGGCTAAAGCAGGGCAAATTCTAAATGGAAGGCACAACCTAGACAACCCAGTGGTCTGGCAGATGGGGTGTTCTCCCGGAAAGGAGAGCCACCAGCCTACACCCAGGTGCCTCAGTGGGGCTCTGGACCACATCAGGGCTCCAGGAGGCTGTGTGGAGCCACCACTGCTGCCCCTCCTACCATGGTATATCCTTCCATGAAGGACCTAGGAGGGGAGAATGTGGGCCCAGGGTTGGCACTGCTCTTCCCCTCAGCCCCAAGTGGCTGAGATCCCCTCTATTTATTCCTCAGGCCTGGCTGGCCTGTCATCAGGAGTTTAGACTGAGTACTTTCTAAGTTAAGAAAAGGCCAACTCTGAGGCCTCAGAAGACCCGCATATCCAGGCCCCTCACCACTTCCTGGGCTTGGTGTGGTGTCCCTGCCTCCCTGCCTTCTCACCAGACCCCCGGAATCTAAACTCATGGTGCCAACTCTACCTTTAAAAATATATATATATATATATATATCTTTTCTTACTGCTAATTTATTGTTTCTGGCACCTGGGCAAATCCTCTGGTTAGTTACTACTCTTCTCACACCAGACACTTAAGTTTTAGGAAGAGAGAGACCACCCTGCTCTGGTCCCAAAGAAGAGAGATACAGCCTCTCTTCAGTGGACACTGCCCTCAGGCACTTTCTTTTTGGAATGGACAGACCTACATGCTCTGCAGGGGAGAGAAGGTCTTGTCATCTTCCCCTCTTCCTTCACTGGGCTTTTTGCAACGCCAGGCCCATCTGTGGAATGGGAGCAGTCCTTCACACTGTCCCCACCTCTGCTTCTTGCCCTAGCCAGAGGTACTGCAAAAAATTGGGCCCAATGATTTTAGACTAAGCAACCCTAAGGTTGGGGAGGGAATAGTCCCCATCTGGCATAGTCCTATTTCTCCACTGGCCACGTGCTTCCTTGTAAGCAAGTGAGCAGCACAGCTGCCCCTGTCGCCATCTGGACTTATTTTATGTCATTTGTTTATAAATAAAAACCAATACAGATGTCAGTGTCTTTAATCAGCTGACAGCTAAATTGCTGTGCATTCAGCAAGCCAAGTCACTACCCTTCTCTTGGTCTTGGTGTCCTCATACCTAAAGTGAAGAGCTTAGATTATATTATCCCTAAGAGCTCTTGTAATTTCAGCAGTCATAAAGAACTGGCTATCTTCCAGATGTCCTCCAGCCCCAGCACCATACAAAGCCCCTGAAAGACCATGTATGAATCCAGCCTCTGCCCTCAAAGGGCCCCACTCTGGTGCACTAGACAGTGGTAAGCACACAGCTGTCCCAAGGAGAGCAGGAAGCAGAGTCAGGGCCAGCTATTCCAAGCCTGCATGGCTGGGTGCACCCTCACCTTCCTGGAGTGGGGACAATACAGGGCAGCCTGCACTGTACCCACTACACTGAGCAGAGGCCAGCAGTTAGCCTGGGGCCACACACTCTACCCCAGGGTATGTACTTTGCAGAAGATAAGAGGAGATGAAGGGAGCAGCAGCTCAGCCCAGTCCAGCTAAGTCAACACTAACACAGACTGCTCTGCAAGAATTAAAATCATCTTCATCTTAAAAAAAACAAACAAAAAAAAAAAAACCATTTTATAGAGAAAGAAACAAGTTCAGATCACACAGGCAGGAAGTGCCAAGGAATCTTTCCTCAAAGCAGAGTGCTAGTCAGCCCACCTCTTTGCTGTGAGGCTTTGGGTGGGCTCTTCCCCTTCTTTGGGCCCACCTGGCTAGGAGGGTTTGGGTGAGGATCTTTAGGCCTGGCCAGCTTTCATCAGTGACTGGCTCTGACAGCATAACTAAGGGTTAATATCCTTTCCACTTGGCCACTATCAGGTTCTAATAGTCACACTGAAGAACTCAGCATCAAGGCTGCCAGACTAGACAGAATAACCCATTTTCCACAAGGACAAAGGAGCCTAGAGGCTGTGTTGTTCATTCAGGGTTCTCCCACAGAGGCCCTGACCAAACCCTGCCAGTGAACTTCTCATCAAGAGACCCAGGGTACGTATACCAGTGTATGCAGGCAGGCCAGATGTGCTTCAAAGCCAGGTGTTATGGAGCAGAACAGCCATGCCCCACCTTCCCACTTGTCACCAAGAGTGTACACCTTGCTGGTGAATAGTTTTTGGAGAATTTATTAAGTGCTGAGTTGTTTGTGTGCATTGTCTTATTTAAACCTTGCACCAACCATATAGATAACTACCATGTTTCCCCCATGTTAAGGTGCAAGCTGAGAGAAGTGAAGCTACTTTCCTCAAACCCCATATGTAAAAACAGATGAATAATTTTCACATTGCCTTTTTCCCACCAGGGCCTGTGGTGGAACTATTCAGGGAACCATTCAGACTCAGGACTCTCATGGGCCAGGTTTGGCATAGCATTCACTGTGATGGGAAACAGCCTTCCAGCAGGACAGCACAAGTGGCCCCTGGGGCCAGGGGTCAGTCCTTGTGAAGGCCACAGTTCTCAAGAGCTGTTTTCCATGGCTTTCCAGCTGTAGTACGAGGGAACAAGCCATCGGGAAGAAGTAGGTTCATCTCTGCTTACAAGCATTGTGTCCCAAGGAAGCTAAATCTCTTTGAACCCCTGTGAGGGACCTGCCTCCTAATCACTGCACACAGAAAACCATGGTGCATCCATAGGACTCCAAGTCCAGATAATTTACAACCAGGGGTCATCTTCACCATTAAGTAATAGTGCCTTGAAGCAGTTGTTTCCCAGGGAATAGGAACAGAAAGGTAACCAAAGGTTAAGTCTACAGGAAGAAAAGGACTTGTTACACTCTAACCTCTGACATCAGAATTGAATGCTAGTTAAGAAAAATAAAACCAAAAACCCTTCAGCTTGTGAAATTGTTTCACAAAGCATTTCTTATAACCAGAAATCTCAAAAGCAGTAGATCTGGCCTTAAGAAGACCCTGTACACAGTCACTTCAGGGCAGAAGAGGCCACTCTATGCACCTAGCACTCCAGCCACCTGCAAAGGCAGAGGAAATATGGGAAAGTGCAAGTCAGGGACAGATGATAGAAGCTTCACACACATACACATAGCAACACTGACAGTGATGAGCAGATCAAGAGGAAAACACCAAGTACTTCAGGGCCTGGGGATGTACTGCAGCGTATAGCACGTACCTAGCATGTACCAGGCCCTGAATTCCATAGCATCACCAGAAATAGTAACAGAAGAACCTAGGCTCCACTTAGGGCTGGTCAAGGAAGGCATTTTTGGAACTTTCTGTCCCTTCCCCATCTTTGGTGCCTCCCTCCTAGCAAGGTGACACATGTCCTCTCCACTGTTCCGTTGTCCAGATTGCTAGTCCTAAGCAGGAATGTCCACAGCAGCCCTCGCTAGTATCTTTATGTAAAGAACTTCAACATCTTTCTCTGGGACAGACACTGATGGACCAAAAGGGCACACTGTCCCTGCTGGATGTCCCAACCCCTCTTTGGAAAGCACCTGAAAATGACTTGCTCTTCTGATCACAGCTAAGTGTGAAACTTGAGACAGTCAAAGCACTGCCCATCCACCTTGCTGGCCCTTAGCATTTTGCAACCTGCTTATCCTACCACTTGCCCCAGGTCATTATAGCTGTTCTCCCATCACGTTGCATAAGACTTCAAGCCCCAGCCCAGGGACACTCACAGCCAGGCATCAAATCTGTGTACTTGTGTCCTTGATACGAAAGCTACTACAGATGGAGGCCAGCAGCCAACAGCAAATGGTACAGAGTGGGCTGGAGCCCTTCAAGTGTCAGAGATAGCCTGTGAGTCACTAGAGCTGGACCCTGTCTACAGGAATTTGGTGTTGTGCTACAGGGGGGCTCAAGACTAAGGCTGAAAAGACATAGGTCCCAGGACCCTGAAGGTTTCATCCACAGTACTCCTCCCCAGAATCTGCTCTTTAACATCCCTGACCTCTCACAGGTGACAGCTCATTTCCCTCCCCTGTCCTCTATGTAGCTCTTCACTGGCTTCCCTGGGCAGTTAGTATGGACTGATTTGGGAGCTGGAAGGCAGAAGGAAAGCAGACATCCTTGATGTGGGTTCAGCCATCATGACCGTGTGGACCCAGTGGACGCTACAGATAATGTAAAAAGAGGCATTTCACCACATACCACACACATCTGGTGTCCTCCATCTTTGACCCCCAACTCCCATTCTAGGAGAGCCTTAAATTGCAGACTTTGTTTTCTTTCCTCCAGTGCCAAAAGATCTTTGTCAATCAGGTCACAGATGTCCAGTGAGAGGATTAGAAGGGGCTACATGTCCCACATTCAGCACCACACTGAGCTGCCTGCAAAGTGCCATATGAAGCCTACAATGCTGTAAATAGCATGATTCTCATGCAGTGCATTTCTCTATTAAAAAGTTTATTTTTAAATGTATTTATTGCTCACAATGAAAGACAACTTTTACCCTCACTTCAAAAAAGAAAGGATATGATGCCCAGTTCACATAAGGCTATTACAGGCTGCAGAGAAATAGATAATGGCGTGGCTTAAAGAGATTGCCAATAAGAACAAGAAATCAATGGCACCCAGGTCAGCAAGGGATGTCTCATGCAGGACAGCCACCCACTGGCAAGGCTGCGAGATAAGGAGAACAGCTCTGTGTTTGTGTATGTCATCCACCAGCTATTCATGGTCAGCCATCTCTCCTCACTACCCAACACAACATCTCTAAACAACTCACTGGCCAATTGCCATAAGAGCAGCTCACGAAAGCCAGAGTCAAGGAAGACTTAAACGAGGGTGGAGAAGCATGGAGAGCTCCTGGCTGTCCCTTTGTGACTCGAGCAGCTGTGGAGAGTGGAGGCAGACCTGGCTGCAGGGCTCGCCAAGCTGAGGGCACCTCAGTGAGGCCTGGTCTCCCCAGAGCCTCATATCGCCACCACATGGGGCAGGGCGGCTCTTCCTTGCCCTCATAGTCGCTTTTCTCAAGCTCCTCACACCTGAGCTTCTGCCTTCATCCCTAAGGGAAACAAACTCCAGGAACATCTTCAGCACCGCTGCCCATGAAGAAGGTAACCTTCACCATACTTCCTCAGTTGAAGTATCACTGGTGACCTCCACCCTCAATCCCCCTAGTCAAGACTTCCAGAAGTAGCATGAGAAAGTGTATGAACTGCATTTACCAAAGCCCAGAAGTACTTGGTGTTTTCCTTCTGAGGAACAAGTTCCTGTGTTCAGAGAAGCTGTGCATCACCAACTCTTGGTTCCAAAGAACAAGGATGGCCTTGTCCTTCAAAAAGAGGTGGTAGTGTTTAACCAACTTTCCAGGACTCTTATAAACTGCAACCAGTTGCTGAAGTTCAGAAGAGCCTCCTAGTATCAGGGGATCCTTGATCCCCAGTCTGTGCATTTTAGTCCATCCAGGTCAGTATTCAGTGAAGCGTGGGAATGGTCACCAAAGAGGGAAGTGAAGGCTCTAGGCAGACTTGAAGGAGGGCAGAGAAGCATGGAGAGCTCCTGACCAAAACAGGTAGCAACTGCTAGCCTGCATGGGCACTGGGACGCATTGCAGAAGAAGATATAATGGATTCTGGAAGCCGCACAGAGGGAGTGCCGCGGCCACGGTGGGCAGATACATCTGCATACAGTGTGTGGCTGAGCCAGTAAGTAGGTGTGAAGGAGGAGAATCACTGACTTCCCTGACCTGGCCTGTGTGTGGCAGGCCATGAAAGGAAAGCATTATTGACCCTCGTGAGACCACAGAGGCAGCTGTGCAGGCCCCACCCACTTCCTAGGACCCTGGTTCTTGCTGCCTCCAGGACAAGCTCCAAGGACCCTGAGAGCAGCTGGCTAGGGGCCCGGCAGTTCTGACAGCTCAGGGCTACCTCCCATGGTCCCCCAGAAGCCAACAGGACATGAAGGTCTTAGGCCTCCTTTTGCCTCCCGTTCATGTTTTCCCTGAATGCTCCCTTCCCAACTATGGTGGCTCCCAGGCCTTCAAGGATCCAATCTGAAAAGATGCAGGCTGGTCGTACCTACTACACAACCCAGAGGCTGGGGGTGTGGGGTGAGTCGAGGACTGATGTGTGTGCCCGTGTGCACTGCTCAGAAGTGAGGTTGCTGGACCTGGGGCAGGGTGCAAGGGCTCAGCTCTGTTTTGAGTCTCCTCCACGTATATGTATATATGCAAAAGCCTTTCCAGGGAGGGGACGACTCTTGTCAGTGTGCCAAAGAGCAGAAGAACCTTTGAACCCAGCCCTGACCAGGTGCAGAGCCTTTCCCGTCTCACAGCAGGGGTTTGGCCAGGCGGAAGCAGCAAGACAGTTGGTGCTGGCCAGCCCTCAGAGTCCTCTTTTCCAAAAGCCCTTATATAAAAGATGTTTCTGGTGTCTGGAGGCAGCAAAAATCTTCTAGTTGGCAGGAAACCCCAAGGGCACCTAGGAGGCCCCTATCCTGTGGATTGGGGAGGGAAGAAAAGACCCCTGGAGGATTGAGAGGTTGTGATAGATGGAGCCCTCAAAGACCTGAGTTCTGGTCCTTCCTGACCCTTTGGGCAAATCCTCTTGATCTGCCCAAAGGCCCTGTGGTCTGGCTTAGTTGTCGAATTCTTTCTTGCCCTAGGCCCCAGGTGGGTGGCAGGCCCCTTCCTGCTGGCCCTCTACCATTCTTCTCTCTGAATCTGCCCAACCTCTGCCAGTCTGTGAGCCTCCCAGGAGCCTCAGCACCACTGGATCCCTTGGAAGACCCTGGGCTCGGGGAGGAGCCACCAGCAGTGAGGAATATCAGAATCTTCTAAGACCTACATGGCTACCAGGAAGGGATCAGGACAAGCACAATTTCCAGGGCTCCCTATGGAGTCCCAGGACAAGCAGCCCCCGCCAGAGCTCCCCCCAGGAGAGTCCTCACTTGAGGACTTGGATCTCCAAGTGGTCCCTGGCACACACACGCTGTATGTAGGCCACCTGAACCCCCAGTTCTCAGTGCCTGTGCTTGCCTGCCTGCTGGGAGATACCCTGGAACGTCTGGAGCTGCCAGTGGCGCGGGAGCACATCCAGGTGGTGAGGCACCCAAAGAACGCCTACGCACTGGTGCGAGTGGCCTCCCACAAGGCCGCCCTGACCTCCCTCCACTGGCGCCTGCGGATGGCCTTGGAGGAGCAGTTGATTCTCACAGAGCTCACAGCTCGTGGGAAGGAGCTGGTTTTGAGTGAGGGCTGGGGGCCAGCCCTGAACCGCAGAGAGGTATGTGAGACTTCCCCAGGCAAGCCCCAAAGGTGCACTGGGGAAGAGGCCTGTGTGTAAATGGGCTGAGGACCTAGGGACAAATCTGAAGACTTGGGGTCCTCTGCTCCTCCACAGGCCTAAAGCTGGTACTGCTGCTCTCCCCAGAGGGGCCGTTAGGGGCACCTCCAGCAGAGCCTGGGTGAAGAAAGGCCAAGCATGGGCTCCTCAGCCCTTCTGTGTCCCATTCCCAGGCCGGGGCAGCCCTTGGGCACACAGGAGACACTCTTCTCACTCCATTTTCTCCTCCCACTCTTTTTTTTTTT